ATTGGTATAAACAGCTGTACTAACCGTAACTTCAAACTTTTGATATAGCAGAAGGGACCTTTAACATTCTTTCAAGGCAGCTCAAGTTTAAATCTTATCAATCGAGTACTTTAATGGATAATTTTTTTAAAAAATAATAATGAGTGAATCTAGGTTCAGCCATAAAAAACACTCTGGAAATTCAGGAGCGTATTAGGGTATAAAATTCTAAACATCATCTCTCAACATATATCTTCGGAATTCTGGCATAGTCAAAAAGATCTTAGGTTTATTCAACAAGAAGAGAATTCAATGCAGCAAAGTTCCAAGTGCGTGACCGTTTTCTTCTCTTTGTTTCATCCACATCTTTAACGAAATTCACTTGCTTGTTTGATAAGAACTGTTAAAGAGTATAAAATTATGACCCTCAGCGGTTATCATAAAGATGAAGTTTTTATGCGGTGGTAGGGACTTTAAGACGGTATGAATCCAGGTTAAATCAGATTGGATCCCACTGGGAGTACTTAATATTGTCCCTGGTGCATTTTAATAGGAAAGATAATCCATTTCATCATCACAAAAATCGACAAATAAGCTCAGCATATGAACGCAGAGCTGGTGACAAATCATTAGCCTCCGCACGAGCTCTCGCCCGTTCACAAGGGCACACGTGTAGATGAGATTTAAATTGTTTAATTAATTACACTTTAACCCAGTTTCAGTGCGCTAATCCATATATATATAATGCCAAAAGAGTGGATTAAAAAAAAATTACTGGCGCTTTTGGTTCAAGAGAGTGCGGAGGAAACAAACAGCAAGAAGAGCACGAGGCTGTCCACCCTCTGCCCCCTTTAAACCTTACTCCTCCAGCTTTGTGTTCGTTGCTGCTGCTGATATATCTAAATCTCTATGTTTTCCAACTGAAAGAGGAAATTATTATTGAGGAGAAAAAAAAAGTATGGAGTATATGAAAGAGTTAACCATCTATCTAATCTCTCTAATAGACTCAGTTTAATTTGCCTACTATCTCAGTTTGATTTACTTTTTTTTTTTTCTCCTTATCACAACATTTTATTTGGTGAAACTAAATTTGAAGTAAATGATATAACTAGAAAACGAAATAATTTTCAAACAGTTATACCAAGAGAATTTTAGACGTTGACAACCCATTTTACTAAATAAAGTGACAACTCATATCTAGTAATCAGCATTTCACATGTGTGTTCATTTATCTGTATCACGGAATCGTTAATGACATCCAATTTCTCTTGGTCAGTATGTCCATATCAAACCTAAGAGGTCAGTCCTTGTTAGGGCTGAGCACGGTTCGGTCCAAACCGAAAAAAACCGACCGAACCGACCCGAACCGACCCGGAAAAATCGATTTTATGAGTAGAACGGTTCAGGTCGGTTTGAAAACTTTTTAACCCGAACCGACCGAATATAGTGCAATACTACCTATTCTGATCTCAAACCCTACCCGACCCGTCCCCAAAGAGTCAAAGACTCAAACCCTAAACTCATTTTCTGAATCATTATGGGTTGAAAACAATATCATTATATCAGTGTTTAATGCTTCATAATCCCCTACTTTGTTGATATCTTTTTTTTTCTTTAACACAGTTTGTTGTTTGATAAGAAGTTTGATGAAGTTAGAACCGAACAAATCGAACCGAACCGACTTGCAACAGTTTGGTTCGGTTTTGAATTATAGACGGTTCGGTTCGGCTGTTTAAATTTGGTAAAAACCGAACCGAACCAACCGTTGCACACCCCTAGTCCTTGTGCAATTAATTAAACTTCGAGTTTTTTTTTTCCTTTTTTTTATTTAAACCGAAAGATCATTACCATGATAAGTCTAGTGCAAAGTTATTGAGGGGTGGAATAATTTTTTCACTGTTGTTTAGAATGATATCCCAAACCCAGGCGCTTCAGCTGTGAAGGGGCCTAAAAAGGCCGACCAACCCTCCACTGTCCTTTTCTCAGTGGGCGGCGTCATTGCTCGCTTCCACAGCCTTTTCCTTACTTTTTGGTTGGAAAAAAAAATGAAAGTGAAATGGCTGCTGCTTTCTACCTGCATACACCTCTCTATCGCACTAGAAAGTATATAGGCAGTGGACACCTTGCCCTGTACTTTTATACGTGGTAAATAAAACTAATAAGATATCGGTGAAAAAGAAAATTTATTGAGATGCGATTAATTTATTAAGGGGCGCTAGTCATTTACTATATTATCCACAAGCATAATTCATCCTCATCGTAACGAACAAATTAATAAGACACTTGTATAAGTGAAATTTGTTCTAAAATAAGAGTGTTGATAAAAAAAAGAAAGAAAGAAAGAAAGGAACATGTGAGCTCTACCATCTACTTTCCATCTCATTTTCCTAAAAGAAAGAATTTCGAAAGATTTGGAAAGCTTGGATTTCTAATGTTGTCAATTCTGTCATAAATACATTTCGAGTTGTTAGGACCCCTTAAAACATTTCCCATGCATACAAATTTTAGGGTTTTTCATAGAAACCACTTTTAAAATGGGACCATATTTTTAATTTATGCATAAACCACATTAAAGCTTTTATTTTTTGTTGCAATCAGCCAAACAAATGGAGTCACTTTTAAGTCAAGTTTTTTTTGATTTTACTGTAATAATAACTTGTCAAATACCAAATATATATTAAAGAGATGATCCTTAATGGAGGTTAGGCGAGTCAATTATCGAAAAAATGAATTAAAATGTTGAAGGTGGTTTATATATAAATTTAAAAAAAAAAAATCAAACATCGTTTATATAAAGTATAAAAGGACCCTATTTGAAGGAAAAAAAATTAGCTACGGATGTCGTTCCCTTGAGCGCTTCTAGCGACACCTGTCCAATATATTAGAGAGTCCATGTGTCTAATAAACTTAACTTAATCCAAAATCTAACCCTAGTTAGATTTTGAACCCAACACCCCCCTCTCATTTTTGAGGTAAGTGTACACGGACTTTTGCCCAAGGCAAGTGTCCTTAGACTTTCTCTGCTCCCTTTCTTCTGCCGGTGGATGTGCTTCTAGAGACTTGACACCCTAACTGTGATTGGAACAGTATAGCATTAATTGCTGCTCCAATTGATTGATTGATTGATGCCCCCATGCTTCCCTTGAAACCAGCCCCCCCCCTCCCCCCAACCTATTGACGTGTGCTTTACTACATCGGAAAGATGCAGCCTTAATCGCTTTGGTAATATGGTCACTAGATAGAAAATGATACGGACACACTATCGGACACACCACTAGCTACAGTAGAAGGGCTCCACTTAAGATTTTTTAAAAAAATCTTAAATGAGGCCCCTGCACTATAGCTAGAGGAGGGGGTGTATGGTTAGAGATGTGCCCGAGGGTATGCCTGTAACGCCTCCCCACTAGATATTATTAGTGCAAGCTTTTGTTATAACAACAGGCGATCACCTCGTTTAGTCCCTTCCGAGTTTGGATATTCAAAAGAGAACACTAACACATTTGATCAAATATGATATCGTCATATTCATATGTGCTTAACAATCATGTATAGTATCGTTTGGTAAGAAATATACATGGTTTATATACGGATTGAATATGAATTTCCGATCACCAAAGTTGGCCACAACGTATCATAATGCCATTATCTTACGGCCAAAATAATTTCAATCATCCGGTGGATACATACAAATTCTAATATTACGTGTCACCTACGTTATGTATCCTCGTTCATATTAGTTTTCTAGGGAAATACTCGTTGAAATCCTACCAGAATTTTAAAAACATATCTACATCGCTATTTGTGTCTTGCTAGATATAAATGCTTACTATTCATACTAAACACTACGGAAAATCCATTCCGTAGATGATTTTTTATTTTCTTTTTTTTTTTTTTTTTTTAATACAAACTTTGAAAATCCAATATCCTTCTTTTTTTTTTTTTTTTTTTTTTTTTTTTTTTGAATGCAAACGTTGAAGATCCAATATCCTTCATATAACTAGACAAGAGGCAATAGATTAATTAATTACCTTTACAACCACAACAATGATCAGCAGCACCGTGGTCCAAATTACAGCTTATAATTTGGCTAGTTTAGAACAAAGCAGAGAGAGGAATTTTTTTTTAAAAAAAATTAGTACTTAAGCAACTCATTTAATCCTTAAGCTAAATCCTAATGTTCCTTAGATCCTATCATGCCCATGTGTTGGGAAAAACTAAGTCATTCATAATCTCATTCCAACGAGCTCTAAAGCCAATTAGAGCCATAGATCTTGGAACTAATCCCACACCAAGTATCAAAAACCACCGAAAGTAACAACCTCCAACTCTTAACCCTGAAGCTTGAACAAGTTAAACAATTAAAGCCAACCTTCGTCCCATGACATGATAAAAATCAAAATGAGTGGATGCTTTGAAGCCTACAGGTGTGGTCCACGCCACATGGCACTTTCCAATTGGTCTATAACCTTCAACCACGGAAAGAGCATAAAATCTTCATACCACTTGCTCGATCTTAGATCAACTTTGATCAAACAATAATGTAAGAAAGATCCCTCGGATAACCATGTTTATCGGACAACTGATGATCTAACCTGAAAAACCCTCCAAAATCTCGTATGCTTATCATGGATAGTGAAGAGTGTAGTTGCACGAAGGACAAAAATCCGATCACATTTTTTGTTTGGTTGCAAGTGAGAACTTCGCTGAGGATATCCGACTAAAATTACAAATTTGCCTAAAACCGACGAACTTTCATGGCACGTTTGATCCATCTATTAAATGTGGCAACTCCAACCACCTATTTCAAAAAAAAAAAAAATAGTCATCCTAAATGGTGTACTTGATAAAAATCGAGGATTTTAAACTCGTGGCTACAAAATTCCCCTCCGAAACTAAGGTTGCGTTTGGAAATCACCCAAAAACTAAGTCAGGTTTAACCCCGACCTAGTTCTACTCTAAAGTAAGTTTAGTCATGGCGCAGTTTTTGTCAATCAAAAGTAAAAACCAAAACTAGACCTGTTTCAGTCATGACCCAGTTGTTTTAAGAGTTTGGAAACACACCCTAATGAAAGAATACAAACACCTAATCGGTGCAAAATAAAAAAATAAATAAAAGGACTACGGACCCAAATATCGACCAAGAATCATCCTATTTTTGCTCGGACCACCTGAGAATTTCCTTGAGAAAGGATATGTACATCTCATCATCACTAACCGACAACTAAGCTAGCAGATGAGAGTCCAAACCCCGTGACAAAAATCGCTCTCCTCCGCACGAGCTCTCGCCCGTTATCAAGGCCGCACCTGCGACCAACCTTTCACTTTTCTTTAATTAAATCAATTAAATCACCCCTTTAATCCAATTTCAGTGCACTAATCCATCATGACAGCACGGAGGACAGCAACATCCTATGGATAGTATAGACCAGCAAAACAAGAACAAAAAGGGAAAAAAATAAAAAAGGAAACTGCTAACGAGTTTTGTGAAGCAAACAAAGAGCAAGAAAAGCACGAGGCTGTCCGCTCTTTGTCCCCCTCTCACCCCTGCTCCCCTCCTGCTCTTGTGCTCTCTGTCCCCATCCCACTGTCTCTATATAAACCCTCAACAAATCTTCAAACTTCCCAGACTCCAGCAAAACAAATACAATGGAGAAAGGATTTCCATGGGGGAGGAGGAAGAGGGGGTATTCAGTCACCCTGGAGGAGGTGAAAGAGGAGGAGGTAGCGAGAGTTCCGGCGATCCCTCCGCCGCAGACGCCGAAGGAGCCGATGGAGTTTCTGTCGAGGTCATGGAGCGTTTCTGCGTCGGAGATATCGAAGGCGTTGCTGGCTGGAAATAAGAAGAGGAATTTCGTCGTCGAGCGATTGCCCGATATCATGATCCCTGACGGTTTGATGATTTCTGCTGCTGCTGCTGTTTCTGCTGCTTCATCTCATCAGCCTCAGCGTCTTCAGCAGGTAAGAAGTGTGACTCTGGCGCTCAAATACAAAAAGGAAATTTCTTCCCATGACAGCTTTGAGGCTTGTTTATCTGAAGTAAATGTTGTATGAAGTGGCTTGTTTATCTGACATTAGTCTGTGTTCGACAGTCGGAGAGGTCCGAGAACACTCACCTTACGTCAATCAGCAAGTGGTTTCACCACAGGGACGATAGCAAGAGCAGAGTGAAGAAGAACAAAGAGAAGGTTCGCGCGGAGAAAGCTCGCATCCATGCTGCAGCATCAGCAGGCACGGGCTCAGACAACGAGAACTCGAAGATGAGTGCAGCCCTAGCCTCCGCCACCGAGCTCCTGGCCTCGCACTGCATAGAGCTCGCAGAGCAGGCTGGAGCCGGGCATGAGCATGTTGCCTCTGTTGTCAAATCTGCAGTCGATGTTAGAACTCCAGGAGATCTGATGACTCTAACTGCAGCGGCAGCAACAGGTTTTGATTCAGTCCCGATTTCATTGGTTTACAGAAGCTCGGAACTTTGATTTCTGTTATGATCTCAGTTTGTTACTCGTTTGATCAGCATTAAGAGGAGCCGCAGCACTGAAACTAAGAGTACAGAGAGAATCGAGGAACAACGCTACCGTGATTCCTTATGATAAAGGGAACTGCCGCAGCCCCGATATCTGGTGCAAAGAAGGCCAGCTTTTGAATCGATCGAGCAAAGGTACAATTATTTAGCTTTCGCTGATAACCCGCAAGTTAGCAATCGGCAGCAACTAAAAGTATCTCTTTCCTCTCAATTATAGGGACTTTGCATTGGAAGAGAGTGTCAGTATATATCAACAGGAAATCACAGGTAGATAGCTGAAAATTATGAATTTATTTTCGATATTCAATCATAAAGATGCAATATATTCTGAAGCGGAGGCAAATAAAATTTCAGGTCATAGCAAAGATCAAGGGCAAACACATCGGAGGAGCACTCTCAAAGAAGAAGAAGAGTAAGTTTCACTGGCGTTAAAAGATTCTATAAACTGCCAAAGTGTAGTTTTTACAGTACTCATGAAATTTTACTGCCAATGACCAGGTGTTGTTTATGAAGTGTATGATGAACTCCCAGCTCGGACAGGGCAAGTGGAGAATCAAGCAACAGACCAATGTTCTTTCGGGCTTAAAACAGGACAGGGTCTTCTTGAGTTTGAGTGTGAGAGCAAGATGAACAAGCAGAAGTGGGTGGATGGAGTAAAGAACCTGCTCCGGCAAGCGAAAAGTGATGGTGACGCCGATAGAATAGAGCAGCCCATGGAACTGCTGAAGATTAATTGAAGGGTTCTGTGTATAAATTTTGCTGACGAGAGGGGTTTGTGTGAGAAATGGAGTATGTATACGTATGAAGTATGGTTTTGTTGCTAACCGTGCTGTCAAAGACTATAAATGACTGAACACAATTAACCGAATCAGAACTACATAGCGTGACGTGAGGAATTTATCCTTCACACACGGCAGACAATCTCAACTAATTTGATTCGATAAATAGAAACCATATACTTCCGATAAATTGATGAATTAATGGAAATTGTAATGTTCTACAGAATACCTCCTTCAGAAAACAACAGTTTTGTTCGATTCGTAGCATAATACTCGAAGCTCGCAGTATGATTTTATCGCTTTTGACAGGCATTGCTTCTCGAGGCTCTCAGACTTCTGCACGAAACTTCTGAGGGTGTCCCTATGAGAGACTCTCTCAACCTGATGCACATTAATAATCAGAATAAGTGAGAATCAAGATAATTAGCATTATTACAGGGGGCAGACGACGAGCAGGAATCTCGTGCCTGACTACAAAAAGGGTCGTCAGCAATGCCCCAAGGAATGTTTAAAAAATGATTGATTTTGCTACCAAAAGCTTGGCTTTGTGACACGCACAAATTAAGCATCAGAATAGTGAAGGCCATCACCTTTGTAAAAGCAGCGGACACACTACGGAGAAGGTTAAACGGACATAATGAAAGCACAAATATAGAATCAGAATAAGCAAGTTGTGGCAAGCAAGATAATTTAATAACTTTGTAAAAGCAGCAGATATTAGCGAAGGTTAAATGGATATAATAATGCACAAATTAAGAATCAGAATAAGTAGTCAACTTTGTAAAAGCAAAAAATTAGTGAAGTTTAAATGGATAGAATAAAGCACAAGCAACTTGATAGACCAAATCATTTGGCCCAATATTTAGCTTAATGAGCAGGAATCTCGTGCTTGACTACAAAAAGGGTTCTCAGCAATGCCCAAAGGAATGCTCTCCAAAATGATTGGTCGTGCTACCTAAAATTTAGATATTGATTGGATGCACATCTTCATGTATTAAAAATTCTATATAATAATTGAGAAAATATCCAACCAAATTGTAAACAACAACCCATTGAGTTTAAACATTTTCCTAATTTAAATATATATAAAATAGAACAACGATGTCTAATGACTCTAATCAAATTTAATACCCAAAGAAAATAAAATAAAAGCATATATTCCAAGTGCATAAGCAGGAAATATAAATGGTGGTAGAGTTTACATGCCTTTTAACAACAAAAAATTACTCTATAGACCAAATAGTCAGATGGGTGTGATCTCATGGATCACAACCTTTGGCGGATCTCAACGTTTGGTAATAGAGCAGAATCCAAGCTCAAAAAAGTAAACAAGGAGTGTAAAGAATGTATGGCAGCTTGATGAATAAATATAGAGAAATAAAGGGACAACAACAACTAAGCAAACTTTTGAGAGTATGTGCAAAAAAATCTGACTCAGAAAGAAAAAGGAAACATATTCGTGTGGTTTTTAAGGATAATTTGCATGTGGAGGCACAAGTTTATACATTGCACATCATATAAAAGAAAGCCTGGAAAACCCTAATTGATAGATGATGTAGATGACAATGAAAATGGATGATAAACTTTCAATTAAGTTCCCTAAAATAGTTCTTTGCACAAAAGTGAGGATGCGAAATCGAAGTTGCACATTCCCTCGAGGA